TTAATTATCTTAATCAGATTTTCTCATTCTTTCGATTTCCATCGCTAGATTTTAAGTCATATTTATTTACACTTTTAGAAATTTAATAATTTTATCCTCATTAATCTATTTAAGATTTTAAATCTAAATTAATTATATTTAATCAATTAATTTCTTGCATTATTTAATTAACTCTAGGATTATCTTAAAAAATATAACAAATTGACTTTGATGATAAAACAAATTTAAAGTTATTTGCATCATTCTGTTTAATAAATTCATTGATTGAAATTATAAAAAATGAAATTTATTATTAACCTAATATCTTCAAAAATAACTCAAAGAGATTTCTCTATTAAAATAATTGACTCAAAGTTCAAGAAAGAAGTTAAATTTTATAAATTATATGAAGATTCAAAAAAATTAATTAAACTCTAAAATCTTAAAGTAATAATAAGTGATAAACAAATATTGGAAAATAAAATATGGTTTTAAAACAATAGAAAAATAAGTTCAGAAATTAGAATTAATAATTTATGAAATATATAATAAAAAAAGTCACTACTTTAATTCAACAATTTTTTAGAAATCAAAAAAAAATAAAAGTCTCGTCTAGTTTAAAGAAAAATGATTTTTATACATTAGATTAATTACATAATTTATTATCTTAATTACAGATAGATGTGATAATTAAAAAATATTTTGATGTAATTTTGGAAGAAACTGATTTTACAATTTTTTGCAATATTTCTTTTAATGAAAATACATTTATAAGATTGTGAATATAATTTTTAGATTAATTTTAAGCTCAAAGATAGGATTTGAAAAGGAATGCAGAATTTGCGAAAGATTCATAGCAAACTTTTAAATGGAAACTGGAAATAATTCTAGAAAAAATAGGCTAAAGTTTGTTAGAGTTGTGACAATATCAAAAGCATTTGCTAAATTTTGTTTTAAAGATTTATAAATTTAATATGAATTTATATATTATGAAAACAATTTTCTTGAAATTAAAAAATAGAAATTTCTCAAAAAGTGAATGAGCAAATTGAAATCGATTTGTTATTCGAAGACAATATGAAATTAAAGGTTTTTTATTTTGAAATGATCCTTAAACTTAATTAATTTATTTGTTGCTGACCATTGATATAAAAATATTTAAAATAGATGATTTTTAAAAAGGGATTTATTGTCAAAAATTATAAAATTTTTTTATTAAACTGATGATATTCATGACATCTTTAAATTTGTTTTAAATAATTATAGATACATTTATAATTCTTTTCTGTATATATCTATAATTCTTTTCATTCATAATATCAAATATTTTGAGTGTTACTTCTCCTTATAAAATATTATTAAAGATCATATAGGTTTATTTTTTTGAAAAAATCAAATTCCGCTTTCTTACATAAATTTATTTACTTTTAAAGATTTATTCTGATACCATAATTGCAATTATTAATATTCATTGATTTGAATACCTATTGGAATTATTTTTTCAGTTTTTCTTTTAGATGATTTTTGCGTTTAATACATATAATATATTTAATAATAACAATAATAACAATTGTATTATGATGAAACAAAATTATCTAGAACTTAATAACTATAAACTAATAATTTAAGCATAATAATTTGTTAATAAATTTTAATGAAATCAGAATATTGCAGTTAGAGATAACTCTAAGATTATATGGTATCTAAAAAACATAAATAATAAAATACTAAGAGATATTCAAATTATTTTTATAAATTTATTGGTATAATGTTGTATATAAATGCTTTTTTAAAATAGAAAAGACATTGGAAAAGAATAAAAATGAGAGTGATAACTGTGAAGAGAAAGAATAAGGCACCCTCATTTTGATTAAATAGCACCATAATACTAATAGATGTAGTCAAAATGAAATTAGAAAATTCAATTTTTTCTTATAATAAATTACACATTTGTTTTGATATCTTATAAAAACCCATCCTTGTTAAAGATTTTTCTTTTGACAACCAATTTTTTGAAACAGAAACCTTTTATTCAATTTCTAGATTCTTAATTGCTGAGGTTTATTCCCCCATAATCATAAATATTAAATATACATTCTTATTCTTGGTTGTTTTTAATAAATTAAAATTGTTAAAATCTAATATTTTGATATTAATATTAAATATTTAACTTGATTAATCTGTATTATAAATTAGAAAATGGATTTTAAAGCCTTTAGTATTTCAGACTATTCGAAATTATTTAAGAACAGATTAAAATTTGTTGTCATTAAGCTAAAAATAACTTAAAATTTAGTATTCAAAATATATTTATGTTGAATTTAATTCAAGTGTAAAATTAAAAAATATTTGATTTACAATCTCTGATCCATGATTTGAGAATATTTTTGTTTTCATTATATTATCCCAATAGTTCTTTAATAATGCCCATCTTGAACATAATTAAATAATATAAAACAAATTAAACCGCCTGAATTTTACTCAATTATAGGGGCGAAATAATCCTTTATGAAATTTAAGTATTATAATGATTTTTTTCGATTGTGATATTTATAAAAGCAGAAGGATAAGTTAACTATCAAAATTATTTTAAAAAATTAGACTTTAAAATAATAAATCACATTTGTTGAAGGATTTAGAAAATACAATAAATATCCATGTTTTATTAATAGAAAAATTATTAAGGCCAAAGATAATTAAATTGTAATATTTATTGATTTTTCCTTATAATACAATAGATAGAAAAAAACTACAAATAATTTTGAGGATAATAGAAAATTAAGATAGGCAGATGATTTAGCTGTTTTCGTAAAAAGTAGTTAAAAAAAGCCAAGAACTTATCTATAGATTAATAATAATAAATAAATAATTGAAGCTATAAATAAATTTAAAAAGTTCTGGAGATATGACAATTAGAAATTTAATTCGAAATTTGAAATTTTGTATTAAGAGGGTTACTTAGGAATAATTATTAATCATTATGGAAGGTTAAAGGATAGATTTAAGATATAAATAATGTTACTTCATATATTTGACTTATAATTAGGTGTCCATATAAAATTAAAATTACACTTTTCAATAAAGTATTAGGAAATAAAGATTATTAAAGTGCTTGAAAGACTTAAAAAAGATACTTATTAATTTCTAATTATCTTGAAGATAAAATAATATATTTGATATAACCAGAAAATAACAAATTTGATTTTTGAAAGATTGGCATTCTTACCATAAAAACTGCATTATATATTATATTAATGACCAAATATGTGATTTGATAATAATGTGTGTAATTCTTCTAAAAGAGTAAATTTATATTAAAAAGGCTCAGAATACTTTATTTAATATATTTTATTATAATTTATAATAAAATAATCAACGCAAAGTGTTTTATAAAAATTATATTAGATAAAAATAATATAAAATTGATGTTTATTTGAATAAATTAACCAATTTAATTTTTTTAGAGCATAATTTTTTAATTGAAATGAAAAATAATAAGTA